CGGAGACCTCCGCGCCGAGCCCTCGCCGCCCCGACTTTGTGTTAGGAGGCACTTGAAGCCTCACTCCGCATCCCTTCATAGCCCGCTCCTCGCCCACCTCACCCCATTCGCCAGACAGGCACAATAGGCAGCCCAGAGGGTGAGAAAGAAACACCCCCTGGCAGAGACCACGGACGATGCCCACCCCCCCGGAAAGTAAGTTGGACCGCGCCGGAGTTGACGCTCTCGAAGAAGGTGCAGGGGGCCTTTGCGTCTCTCCCAGCCCCCCTTCCCACCCTCAAAAGGCAACAGACAGCTTATTTTCCTTAGGCTTAGGAGGAGAAACTATTCATTCAAAAGGCTTTTCTCTATTGGTTTATGGATAAGAATCAAATCGCCCCAGATCTGTTTTATACACGATCGGTTTGCTTCTTCCTCGCACACTAGTTAGGAATTTTCCTGCTGCCAGACTGTCTAAGAAAAATCAGAGGGAACGATGTACCAGACAAAAGAATGCACGTTAAGTTCACAGACACCGAGTGCCGTCTGGAAATTTGGGGAATATCCTCCAGCTCTTGTTTCCAGCTTTTAGTAGGGTTAAGGCTGAAAGTCCCAAAGTTGAAGTCGTACTGTTTGTTCATTAAGCAAATATTTGTTGAACAACTACTGTGTGCTAGGCACTGTTCTTGGCACTGGGATACCAGAGTGAACAAAGCAAAAAGACCTTCACTCTGCAGGAGTGCACACTTTCGTTGGGTAAACAAACAAATGAAAGGTATAGAATGTCAAATGGTAAACGCTTTGGAGAAAATCAAAGCAGGGAAAACGTGCGGAAGTGAGGAGGTAGTGATTATATATATGCAAGAGGGCTCACCTGGAAGATGATGTTTGAGCAAAGACCCAACAGGAGCAAAGCCACGTGGGTATGTGTGGGAACAGCAGACTTGGTCAAAGGAACAGCAAGTGCAAAGGCCCTGAGTCAGGAATTTGCCTAGTGTATTCAAGCAACTGCAAAGAAGCTACTGTAACTGACGTGGAGTGAGCAAAGGGAGAGTAGTGTGAGCTGAACTGAAGGGTAGGGTGATTGTGTGTTGGGGGCCTTGTGAGCCATTTAAAAGATTGTGGCTTTCACTCGAAGATAGGGTCTGGATGGTTTTGTGCACAAGAGTGACTGAACTGACTTATGTTTGTAACTGACTATTGTGTGCGGAGTAGACTGTAGAGAACAAGGGCTGAAGTCGAGAGGCTAGTTAGGAGGCCATTGTAATAATCCTTTCATCTAAACGGGATAAAGTGCTTTATAAGTAAGTAGTAAGGTAAATTCCCACTTGACTTTAAGTGATGTAGAGATCAAGGACCACAAACATTCGTCTGTGTTTTCGTACCTTGTGAGTAGAGATTAAACCTACAGAACTGGCTTGTGATGCAATGACAGTGTGGTATCCAAATAACATCACTTGAGTATTTCAGTAGAGATTGATTTTCTTAGCCGTTTAAGCAAAAACATAATTTAGAACAGAATATTGTTTTTACAGCCTTAATACCAGCACAGTCTTTCATTTTGTGAAAGTTTTCTATTTCAGCTTTCTTTCTGTGTGTGGTTTTAAGTCGCCAAAGGCTTTGAGGAATAGACGTTTCTGAGATAGACTTTGATGAGTTTGCTGTGCTATTTTGCCTATTATTATAAATTACTTTGGAGTTGAAGAAAAAGAAAGTGTTATCAAGATTATACCTTTGAACTCAATTATCAGTCTTAATCATATGTAATTTTAAATAGAATAGATAGCTATTTTATTGTGTGTCAAGAGCACAGATCCACCTTCATTTTGTTACAACTGCTGCTTTTAAGTTTGCTGCCTTACCTGTTGGGAGTTGGCTCAGGTGTCAACTCAAGAATATTCTGAGTTAAGTACCAGAATAAAAAGACAAAGCACTTCCAGATGAAAGGAGCATATAGAGTCAAATTGTCTAAATAAAAAGTATTACGATAAAAATGTAAGTACATTTATTTCAAAATAAAAAGTAAAAAAACCCTTTTTTTTAAAAGGCAAAGCACTTTTTAGAATAGGAAGAGGGTTTTTTTTTTTTTGGTGGGGGAGGTAATTAGTTTATGTATGCATTTATTCTTAGAAGATGTACTGGAGATTGAACCCAGGACCTCATGCATGCTAAGCATATGCCTTACCACTTGAACTATACCCCCCCAAGAGGGGTTTTTATAATAAGTCATTTTGTATTAATTAGAGCATTAATTTTTAAAACATTTAAAAATTATTTTATAATCCATAAAAGGTACCAGAATATCTACATAAGCTCTTCTGAAGCACAGTTCTGCTGAACTTCACCGCCCTGGAGCTTTTAGTTGCAATTTGTATCATCAGACTGCAGGCAGGATGTGATGTTTGCAGAGCATAAACTCTTGAACATCTCAAACTTTCTCATCCACTGATGTATATAGACAGACTTTAATTATTATGCATTTATTTCATGAATATTATAAAAAATGAAAGTCATCCAACCTCTTGCTTAGGATAAGACTAAGATATATAGATAGATAGGTATACATTATATGTATGTATCTGTATAGAGAGAGATCTATATTTTTTTCAATTTAAATGAATTACTAGAAAATAAAGGTGTAACTCAGATACGGCAGACTTATGACAACATGATTGACTAAGGGCTTTACAGTAGTACACTCTGTAGACCAAGAGCATCATACTTCTCTGGGTTGCGTATTAGAAATGTAGGTTCCTGGACCCAAAGAATCAGGAATTCTGAGAGATTTCTCTACATCTTTGACAAGATCCCCAGGGGTTCCTTATCTCCCTTGACGTTTGAGAACCTCTCCTGGTAGACCTAGATTGCAAAGGTGAGTGGACCATAGGAGGCTGATTTGTGGTTTTCCAAACTTGTCCTGATATTTTAATATTAGATTCAGAATTGCTATTTAGTGGCAAAGTATCTTACTCCTGTTTCCTATCAGTTACAACCCCAGACCTTCAACCTTTGGACATAAGCCAGATCCATGAGGATAGATAGGTTCAGCATCTTGATTATCTTTTTATTTCTTCCCTAATTGCCTTGACCACAGTAAATACCAAATGAATGAATGAGGCACTACACGAAGAAACTCATTCGTATCTTTATGCTGCTTTTGAATTGTCGTAGCCCCTCACACTACTTTTGATTTATTTGCCCTTTTCCCTTAGAATGTTACCTGTCATCCTTATTCTAACCAACACTCCCAGTATCCGGTTTTCTTAGAACTCTTAGGTATTGATCTGATGACCATACCCATTCGTTTATTCAATAAGCATTTGTTGGGCAGTCGTAGTACCAGACAGTGGAAATACATTGATTAAGATGACGTATCACCTGTCTTCAAGAACTTTTAGTCTAGTCTAGGATACTGACAAATAAGTAATCAGTTACAAACAGTACGATAAGAACTATGATCATCTACAGGAAATAAAGGAGCGTATAACCTATCTTTAAGGGAATCAAGGAAGGTCTCCTAGAGGAGAGTCCTAAGAAGCAGTGAGAGTTCCTTTGTTTGAAATGATGCAGAAAGAGCAGCAAGGAGGGTGAGGGATGAGAAAAAGGTCTGGGAAGTCAATGATGATTTTGAGAAGGCACTTTTGGAAGAAAACCACATTTCAAAGCTATGAATATTAAGTGGTGAAGATGTGATTTAAATGAAGCTTGGTGGTAGAAAGAAAGACATAGTCAATAACTTGGAAAGACAGAATCAAGAGAAAGTTTATATAGGTTCTCTTTATTTTTTCTCCCTTGAAAAAAAAAGACTTATTTGTAGACTTACAGAAGAACCTGATATAGTGGGAGAGGGGAGAAACTGAAAAGGCAACAGAAAGAGGGGCTAACTCATTAATAAAGCATTCAGTACATGTTTTTAAATATCTGCTATGTGCTAGGCACTCACTGTTCCGGAAGCCAGGCATGAGACAGATGAGGCTCCTGTTCTCCTAAGTTAGGTTTCTGCATATGAGAGAAGGGGAGTAGCACCAAGGATGAAAAAGAAGAAGTACTCTTGGACAAAAAAGAGAAAATGAAGGCAGAAAAACAGAAATTTAAAGATTTAAAGGAATTTAAATTTAAAGGAAGTTGAAGCATTCATTTCAGATAAAATGCTTTTTTTTGGCATAAATGCCACACAATTGTCTGATTTGTTACTAATTTTGCCTGAAGAAATTATGACAGCAACTTTTATGAGTTGTATCAGAAATACGCTGAACACTCTACAGTATTAAGATAATTCCATCTGGACTATGAACAAGTGATAATTCTTGAGTAGAAACAGAGGTTTCACTATTCATGAGGCAAAAGTGATTAAAGACCTATCTGCTTTTAAAAGCTTGCACCCTCAGGTGAAATGCTTTTAACCAGAGTTAAAAATGACATTGGAGAGGTAAGGATGTATTTTAGAGTGGAATAATAACAAATGTTGCAAAAGTACTAAAAGTAGACTTTACTAAGAAATATAGACTGTCTTGATCAGAGCAGTGTATGGAAGATCTGGATTAAGATTGAAGAGGAAGCATAATTTACATAGTCACAGAATTGAGAAGAGCCAGTGAGAATAAGTCTAAAGGAAAGGATTGGGTTTTTTGTTGTTGTTGTTGTTTTGTGTTGTTTTTTAATTAGCACAAGTAAGGCTAGGCAGATTGTCAGGAAAGTGAATTTGGTTTTCGACACACTGAATAAATATCCCTCTGGGATGTTCCAGGGTATGCAGCGGATATACATGGCTTGGAACTGAGGCAGGTGGTCTGAGCCAGAAATAGAGATCTGGAAGTTATCCGTAAACATGTGAATACTAATTGATGCCCTGGGAGTAGATGAGCTCACCCAAGAGAGTGAAATGTGAGAAAAGCATTGAGAAAAACAACTTCGGGAACACTCACATTTAGGAAATAAAAAGAGACACGAGGACTCTGAAAGACTTGATGTGAAGGAGTAGCCAGAGAGGTGGAGGAGAAAAACATAGGACAGTGGTGTCACAGGTAGGTAAAAAGAAGAGTAAATTTATGAGGGGGAGATAAATGGATTTTGTTTTTAACAAGTTGGATGAAAGGTGTCTATCTGTGAGACGTTCAGCATGCTCAGTCTCCCATATCCCCTAACTTGATGAACATTGTTTATCTAGTGACCCAAACCCATCCCCCACTTACTCAACACTGTTCTGAAGTCCGAGA